CCATCCTGCTCATCACCTACATATATATAGAGAGGGTGAGCTTAGATACTCAGTGAATGGTACTAGTAATAAAGGTTTTGCATGAATATAGCCGAAGTCTTTCAAAACGAAACATGCCAAAAACCATACGAATATTAGCCGAGGTCCTTTCAGAGCAAAACACATCAAAACTTTATCAAAACAAGAGATGAACCGTATTCATCTATCAAGTCTTACAGGTCTCAAGAGATGCTCACTGACATCGGCAAAACACAAATCAAGCTTTCCGAGCAAACAAATCCACGTAGTAAACCGTCAGTGGCAAAACAAAGACTGCACGATCCGTAATCGATTAGTCAAAGGTACTGCGAAAGTTTATAGTCCTCCAGCACAAGGGACATGTGTTACTTAAGCCCGTAGCTCCTTTTAACACGATGGTCTTGTGTTACTTAGGCCCGTAGCCCGCTTTAACACGATAGTCTTTCCAAGAAAGGACCGTATCCTTTTATACTTAGTGCTGCGAAAGTTTAGAGTCCTCCAGCACAAGGGAATTCTCAAGGATGACATCAAAAACAAAGCTTATACTTGATACATCAAAACAGAGCTATTCATTCATGCTTAACAAATGCTTTCGTCAAAACAAAGCAAAGCAAGATTAGATTTATCAAAATAGTATAACATAGCTTTATCAAAAATACCACTCACATAGATCTCCTCGGGTGCAGGCTCAAAGCAAAGATCAAGGACCTATAATCATATGGCAATCACATTCTCAAAACAAGCTTTATATGCATGCAAATGATCCCGGCTTTCTCACCAGATCCAAGTCAATAGCAAAGCAAAACACGCTGGGAGTTTAAACACTGCTCCCGTCTCATGAAAACACACTGGGTACCAACCAGGTCTTTGCCGAGGTCCTACACCTCCTTGCCGAGGTGTGGTCCCGATGGCCTCATTCAAAAGCAAAGTCGGGAAAACCTGGGTTTCCATTTGAAGAACATGAAGAATATGATCATGAGGAAGATGAATGCAAGATCATAACTTGTTACAAAAATCTGAGATTTCATGCCATGAGTTCAAAACATGGACCTGGGTACCCATACAAGAAAGTCATGCAAGAACAAACACAAAACATGGTTCTTGTTCCAAACTTTCGGATCAAAACGAGGCTTCTTCAAGAATACATAAAAACCATTTTCTCTTTCCAAAACCAACTTCAAATCGATGCATGACGTGCAAAACAGATTCGATCACGCAATGCAGTTAGATGATCAATAACAACAACTAGTGTAGATTAAGATTCTTACCTCAAAGCTCGAATCTACGGTTCAAACCTTCGAAGATCAAGCTTGGGAGATCTATTCTCACTCAAGAATTCTACTCCCTCCTCTAGAGCTTCTCTCTCTAAAGACAAAGGTTTGAGACCAAATGATTTGATTCTAGGTCTGCCGGCTGTCTTAACAATCAGCTCGGACACGTGGCGCTACTGGGTTGGTTCAACTCAAAAAGGTGATTGATTGATAAGACAAGTCTCTGACAAAGGGTATGCAGCAAGCTAAGGCAAGACACATCGACAAATAATGACATCGGCTAAAGTCAAAGCTTCGGCAACAGGGTAACAAAGACATCGGGTAGGGAGGACGACACTTGACTAAGCTGTGCCAAACCTTGGCCGGGGTGTGCCACACCTTGGTCTAGGCCATACCTGCCCCAGGACAAAGATCACTAAGTGCAAAACATCTCGGCCTAGATGATACACTCCTCGGCCTTGGTTTCAAACACCTCGGCCCAGATAGTGACATCTCGGCAAACATGCCCGGGGTGAGGATGGGGGTCAACCAAGTGGTTCCAAAACAGTTCTAAGTACAAAGGTTCAGAGGTGAACTAAGCTCAAGATGACCTCGGCTACACACCAAGCAAGGAACAAAATCATGCAAGCAGCACTTAAACAAAACAAGGCAAGGCAAGACTTGCAAAACAACATAACAAGACAAGATCATGCATGAATGTATGCAAGTATGACAAGAGTAAGGTGAGAGTTGCTACAGGCTGCTTGGTACCGCTTCAGCTTACAGTTGACTTTAAACCCAATTTGCCTCGTTAGCTTTCTCTCTCTCTCTCTCGCTGAGTGTGCGCACGTTTACTTACAAGTGCTTGTGTTTAAGGATTTTAACTCGTGTATTCACAAATGCAGAAGAGACTGAAAGAATAAGAGAGTCCAAAGGAAGAGTGTTTGCTATGCTTGATGAACCGAGCGTGTACGGAGTCTAGTTACCAAATGGGGAGGCACCAGGAGGGTCAGGACTAGCAATATCAAGAGCCTTTGGTGATTATTACATAAAGGGTTTTGGCCTTATTTCCGAGCCTGAAATTACACAAAGAAATATCACCTGCAGAGACCGGTTTGTCATTCTGGCAACTGATGGGGTATGTACGCACTTATCATTGGTGATTCAAAACTTTTACATGAGCACTCGATATGTAACTTTCTCATTCTTAGAGGAATGATTGATGTTTGTGGTGGTGTTTCGGGCCTATCACTGAACTATATGGTACATAATCTTTACTTACATAGGTATGGGATGTTCTCTCCAACCGAGAAGTAGTGGAGGTTGTGTCTTCAACACTAGAAAGGGAAGAATCAGCTAATAGATTAGTCCAACATGCAGTTTGTGCTTGGAAACGTAAGAAACCGGCTATGGCAGTGGATGATATCTCTGCTATCTGCCTCTTCTTCCACAATTCAACATCCTCTCAATCAGTTGACACCATCAAGCTTCCATAGCAATCCGACATAAGAGAGAAGCAGTTTAGCTGGTCACTGAGGTTAGCAATTAAGTTGTTGTCTTAATAGCATTTGATTGTATATTCTTTCTAGACTCTCGTTGTAGAGTTGAATGATAGATATATTGGTGACCAAATCCCCCTATCATACTTTGTTTTTAGTACAAATGATGTACCAAATATTTGTAAGATACAAATGAAAATGACCAACATATTTATATCACTTGTTGAATTACTTACCTTATAGAGAAAAGAATCAAGGGTTGATAAGAAACAATTACATTTTTTTTTTATTCTTTTTTTTTTTCCTTCCTCTTTTTATAATATGACATAAGTGTGAAACAAAATCTCACATAATTTAAATACGAATGTAATGAGTAGTATATGAGCCTCCTATAACAATTACTCTAAGAAAGAAATATATATATATATATATATATTCTGATAACATAATGTGATTCTCACTTTTATTACAAGTATAAAGCGTGAAAAATAATGTGTCTGTAATCTTATTCTTATAAAAGTCAAAATCCAAACCCAAAACTCAAAATCTCCTAAAAAAAATTGTGCTAAGAAGACGCGAGTTTCATAATCTGATCATGTAAAATTACTATATGAACTTAAAAAAGCTTTCTCCACCTATGTCTAAGAAAAGCTAGTAGCCTCCTAAAAAAAGAAAGGAAGGGAATAATAATGTGTGATATCCCACATCGAAAACTAGAAGAATGAGAAGGTTGGAGTGGGCTTATAAGTAGACAATTAGAGAGAGTTACGTAGTCACCCCGTCCTGTTGGGGGTGTTAGATGACTGGTCAATGATCGTATAGAGAAGGCTGGTCGTGCCAACACCTACATTTGACGAACACATCAATTATAGAAGGCGAGTGGGTCCACTCTACTTCTAGGTGGGCTCGCCCGTCAATTTTTGGAAGCCCCTTATCTTCTTGATGGGGGGCCCACTATCCTAATAATCAATTACTAACGATTTACAATTGCAGCTCATTGAGGGTGGGATTTAAAAGAAAAAAGTGTGAAATGATGTAAAATATTGATGTATTTTATTTATTTATTTATTTCTCAATCAAACGTGTCTACGAAATTTTTGGTGAAGTTAAAGAGTGAATAAAATTAATATAAATGGCAAGATATTATTTTTTACTTATATAATTAATATATGTTTTTATAAAAAGGTCAAATGTAGTATAATTATGTGTTTAATGTACTATTTTTTATTTATATAGTTAATATATTTTTTGTAAAGAATAATGATATATTCCTCTAATTTTAGAATTTTAATTGAACTCTAATGAGGTGGTATGAATAAAATAAATAAAACTAAGGTCAAAATATCATATCACAATGAGATTCACTCTTATTAAAACTCATTAGAACTCCTAATCATTTTTCTTTTATAAAAAAGTGTAATTTAGCATAATTATGTCATAAGGTTTAAGGGAATTTTTTGAATCGAGTAATTTATAAGGTTTTTGGAAAGATACATTTTAGATCATAATTTGAAAAGGAAAATACAAATAAGGTAATGATTTGAAAAAGGAAAGGGAAAATGTATGATTTGAAAAAGAAACAGAATGGGCAAAATGATTTGAAAAGGGAATACGGATAAAATATAATTATATTTTATTTATAGTAACTATGCACTTTTTTCTACCCATAATCATAATCTAAATACCAGTTTCTAAAATCATAATCTAAATACCAGTTAACTAAGGATAAGTCAGGTCGGGTCATTTCGGATTTGTATTATAATTAACAATAATAAATAAACTTTTTATTATTGTGTTATTTTGTGTCCATCACTGTTGCATCTATAAACATAATAGAAAAATATTTGTTCATAAATAATAATACTAATTTTTTTTTTTCTTTTTTGGTGTGTTTTCCGCTAAAACAAATGGAAGTTCTTGACTTCTACCTCTCCCTGCCAATTATTTACAACTGGTGCTTTAGCAACGGTTGATGGCATTCAGAAAAGCAATTAGCTAAATGACAACAGAAAACATCATGGTATTCTCATAAAGAAAGCATAGGTTAACTTAGGAAAGAATTGTTTGAAGGTTATCACAGCATCAGCAAAAGAAACCCTACTTTTCAATCCAACAAATGACCAACCAATCTTCAAATCCATCTCTTTACCTGTTCTAAGGCTACCCTATCCAGAAGACAGATTCACAACAAAACATTCCTCCCCAATCTTTGAATTTAGATCTCAAAGGGGAGTGACTAAATTCAAGTATGAATTTCATTGTAATAAACATGCAATTGCAGCTTAAAAAGTGAAATTCGTTAAATAATTGACTGTAATTTACTCCAAATATGCTTACAAAACTTCCACTTCCTTTCCCAACCAAAATGCAAAACTCTCGGATACACTTTTGGTCATTCAAGAACACTAAGGGAAAATGACTTTTTTAAGTAAAAATGATACAAAGGTGACTCGGCCATAGACCCAAACAAAGCTCACCGTGCTTGTTCAATTGAGGTGCAGTTTTCCTCTTACTGCATTTACTGACTTCAATCTTCCTTCGCTGACAGCTTTTTCTCGGGTAATTTAAGCATACCACTGTCTATTAGGGGCTGCAGTTCTTTTTTAGCCAGCTCACGTACTACAGAATCTGAAGATTCCAAGAATGCACAAACTACCCTAGAACTGTGTACACAACAAGAGCACCGTCAGAAATTGCCCATTCATATTTATGCTATGATTGTTTCAGAGGAAAACATTTCCTGACAAAAAACATTTTTCAATGTTTTCCTATGTTTGGTTGCGACTTGGAAACTACTATACCAGTGGTTAGAGGTGGTGGTGGTGGGGTCGTGGAGATGGAGGTTGAGGTGGAGGTGGCGTTGGTGGCAGTGGCCGTGGTAGTGATGGGGGTGTTAGAGGTGGTGACAGTGATGGTGGTGGTGGTGGTGGTGGTGGTGGTGGTGGTGGTGGTGGTGGTGGTGGTGGTGGTGGTGGTGGTGGTGGTGGTGGTGGTGGTGAGGTGGTAGCAGTGGTGACATTGTAAAACTTTAGTCCGAAAAACGTTTTTCAACTTTCAAAAGTAAAAAACATTTTCTGCCCAAATAACCTTGTTTTCTGTTGAATTTCGTTTCCTATCCTACCAAATGTTAGAAAATATAGAGAAAAATGGTTTTTGCCAAAACAATTAAATTCACCATGTACAGAAAGCAGCAAACAACAGTATCTAACCTGTGACCTTGGGCCCACATTTCAGATTTCCCTTTTAACGCTTTCTTCCATAGGATGGAAGCAAAGGCAGGGCAATCTAAAACCAGTCTTCTAATTGTCCTGCTAGAATGGAAATTTTCAAGGAGATGCTCTTCTTCTGAGTCCTCTAATTTAGACTCTGCAACAAGTGATGCTATAGCTCGATGCAAGGCATCCAAATTTGTATCCAATGTTGAGAGGAGAATGCCACCGGCACCCCCAGTTGCAACCTACATGAATTAACAACGTAAAATTTAAGCAAGGATCTGCCAATAAAGAATAATTCTAGAGACCAAGAAATAAAGTAATAAGGAAAAAAAATGTATGATACAAATTTATTTTAAGTGTTGGCCCCGCCATATAAAAGTTGAATCTAAACCATAAACTATTTTTCTTGATACTTTTGTGTCTGAATTCTTGGTCTCTAGCATTGCTAACCAAAAAATGAATCAAATCCTAACATAAAGAATACTGATGAGCTGACATGGATTTTACACTACAATTATTACTTCTTGGGGATTACATCACAACCAGAGAGATCACCTTGGACTTAATCAACAAATCAACCATAACTTTAGGCAATCAAGAACAAGGAAGGCAGTGAGTGAGGAAGAAGTGAGAAACGTTGTGTATGAAAAGTGAAAGACCAAGGTAACCCTTTTTTTGGTTTTCCACATAAAAACCTCGATATCTGAATTATGTAACAAGGTAACTCTTTTTTGTTGGTCTATCGAAGCCTTGACCACTTTTTGAACTCTATTTTGGACTCGTTACATAATTTAGATATCAAGGTTTTATTGGTGGAAACATTGCATACTTCATATGTACTTGGTTGCACAGCCTTTTGCACCTTTTATTGAATTTCTACTTTAAAAAATGAATAAAAACACAATTCCTGTTGCAGCTAATACACTGAACAAATCCATGGAAGATGATTAAACTTCACATCAAGATAAAATTATTGGTAGTAAAAGAGATTACTACCTCATAAATGATCTCTTTCCCAAAATTGGAACTAAGTAATTCTCCTGCACTCTCAATGCACGCATCAATGAGACTCTACAAGACATGCAAGCAACAAAGTTAACATCTCAAACCAGTTTTAAGTATAAGTCATAGTTAATGTGAATAACATATAACCAATATGTTATGGCTGAAGACTGCAACTAAGTGAAAGTGAGAAATTCTTCTTAAAGATGTGCAAAAGAAACAGTGAAATTACCAACCTCAGCAAGACCACTATTGACCAACAACTCTTGTCTTCGAACCAGATGATCCTTTTTCCCACCATCAATTAAGTCAGTGCTCTCACCAGGGGTTGTACTTTTGTTAGACTCAACTATAACATCCTCTGTGCCACTGTTCTCTTCACCATCTTTACCAACCTCTAAAGTTTTCTTCTTCTTATCTGAGTCAGAATTTAAGTCTGATTCACCCTGATAAAGAGGGAAAACTTCAATCAAGTTTCAATGCAGCTGCATAACTTGTCTGAGATAGTTCTAATGTTCAACAAAAAGCTAAAGCGATTTGGATTTTGCCTTGGTGCAGAGAGAAGGAATAGTAAGATTCAAAGAAACCAGACCATCAGGACTGAAATAGCGGGGATAATTGGGATGAAGTAGCTGCAATAATGGACGCCTTCCATTCTGAAATCAACAAAGAAACCAACTTAGAAGAATATCTATTTGGTAAGCATGCCATGTATGAAAAATATTTGTTAGACCACCCTTCCTATTCAATGTTACATTGCAATTCCTTTCAAATGTTAATGAGATAGAAAGGCACAAGAACAGTACAAACCTTTTCCAGAACAAGCTCCTTCAACATTGTTTGAAGCTCACGAATGACAACCTGTAAACAGGAGTAATCTTAAAGAGAAAAACCCAAATAAAAAACGATACACCATCAGTTAAGAAGATAAAACAATTATAACAATGCTGAAGAAACCAACCTTCGTTACAAGTTTAGTGTCATCAACAATTGAAAGGATGCAGGCAAGCACCTGTAAAGAACTTAATGTAAATGGTAGGCCAAGAATTTTACATAAATTTTTTTTTAAAAAAAAAATTATAAAATTAGGCTAGAATAGGAAAAGAGCAACAGAAGAATAAAAAGTGCATCATTGAATCAAGACAGAAGTGGAACAGATGAACCCCACTAATTGTTAGATGGTGCAAATCAACAAATAAGATAATAACTGGCTGAAACTATTCTCAATTGTAATTACAGTTAAGATAGACTGTGATCCACAATTGAAATGTAAATTAAAATTGTCACTTCTTCACCAATTAAAGAAAACAATATAATGTGTAGATGGAGAGGAGAAACAATGGATTTGAAGGATTCATTACAGGAAGAAAAAAAAAAGGACAAAAAAGAAAGAGTAAAGTCTAACAAATTTAAAAAGAGATCCTCACCATACTCCCAAACTGATCGTGAGCTATCTTGCCCACGTGACCTTTCATTCCTTTGATGATTTTCTTCCTCTCCTAAAACAAGAGAAATATCAAAGGGCAATTCAGGAGTCCACAAACATCACAATCAAACCCAAAAAGGACAAGGTCACATTGACGGAAAAAAAAATTCAAGAATAAGATACAACCAAGATCAATCTCAACAAACCTTTGCACTCCCATGCTTGATACAAAGCATCGCAATCCTAGATCCCTCCCTGGTATGGATCATTCGAACAAGTAGTGGACCCGACAACTGTTGGATGACATCTGCAGCTGAGGCCTTTAAACAAACTTGGTTTAGAAACAAGAGGACCAATCGGGAGAGAAAGCCTCCCACATACCAAGTAGGCAAGAATGCTTTGTCAAAGGGATATATTATTATACATCATTAGGGTGAATGTAAAAAGGTATGCAATACCTTGTCAGCAATGCTGAAGTATTCCATCAATGCCTTGTGTATGATAGAGTGGTCCACTATTCCTTTCTCCAAAATTGGTTGGAACAAAGAACTCATGTATCGTAAGACAGAAGCCTTTTGCAGACCCAGTTTAGAAATTACATCTACTAACCTGAAGACACCATTAATAACCATGAAAATATAAGAAAACCAACACATTCTAAAACTCTTGCATATATCACATTGACTATAATTTACATAGTTCATGTAAAGATAGTGTAGAAAGAAGACCAAAGGAATGTTACCACTCCAAATTCCAACATCTGCATCACATCATTGATAAGTTGCCAATTCTCATAAAATATTGAGGCAATGACACCACATTCCCAGCCAAAAACTCAAAAATGTAGATTGGACAATCTTTACATCAACTACAGACAAATTATCTTCTTGTCTTATTCCACATTATGAAAAGCAAGTGTCATGTAGGAAAAGTTTTTTGGCCCTTAAGTAGTTACACTTATGTCCACACATAAATGTTGTTTGAAAGAAACATCCAGCTTTGAGGATAAAGAATAATGCAGAAAATTTTCAAGAAAACAATCTCCTGAAGTTTTGTGCAAATATCAAGAGAATACATGAAACCAATATGCAGGAAAGAAAACCCACATACGCTGAATAATAGTAAAACTTCTATTTTTCTTTCTTTCATAAATCTTCAGAGGAAAAGAATTTTATACAGCTGATAATTTACCTGCTTTCTTTCATTGACACCAAATCCTTAAACAATTGAAGCTCGGTAGAATACAATTCCATCAGAAGAGCTTGTTTTTGAGTTGCATTTCCCGACTGATATGCATGCTCAACAACTGCAACAAACGAAATAGTATTAATCCTGGAAATTTAATACATGAGCTAGAAGATCAGTTATACTGGATTCAACACTGTGCTGGTGCCATGTGCTGTGTTATAATTCTAGCCCTCTCAAATGCCCTCACCCAAATGGCCTAGGCATATCAAAAAGTAACATCAAATAGCAGGTTAAGCAAAATTGTTTCTTAAATAAATAGGAAAAAATTATTATTAAAAAGAAAAAAGAACTCATAATTAGGGACAAAAGTAGTTTTAGCATACCAACAGAGCCAACCATATGTCGAAGAAGAGAAGCAACATGCCCATGCAGGAAGGAAATAAACTCTGCTAACTGATTCTTTGAAGCTGCAAACAATAGAAAAACATATATGAACCACCTCTCAAGTAATGCACTTCAGTGGTTCTATTAGTAATTAAAACGAACCATACCATTATCTAACATCTTCTTTACCAGATGAACTGCATAAGTATTGCATGCAAGAGTGAGAAAATGTGGCCGAAGCTCCGCAAATACAACATCCCTTTCAGCTTGTGAACAGTACTTAACGCAAGTCTAAGGTTGAAAAAATAGAGTTACCACAGGTTAATACAATCAATAAAAGCTTCATATACCAATGTAATCAGAAAGAATAAGTAGAAACCTGCAGAACGCGAGAAGAAACATGAGAGCTTGCAATTTCAGGAATCTTCCCTTTCATCTTCTGTATAGCTTCACTCACCAACCTTCAGACAAATTTAAAAAATATTGTATTATAGCATTTGATTTTAAAAACATGATGAAGGGAAAATGTATCATTCATATCAAAATACACACTTCGATCTATCTTCTTTGGCAATGTTACGCCTCCTCATCTTTTCCCACAGTGATGCAAGCTCCTATTGAAAACCAGAAATTGACTTAGACAACAGGCATCACACAAACTCACTGAGCATGTGTAAACAGCTCAATCAAGTATTGTGGCTTCCAAACATGCTGTAAAACAAAACAAAATCTTCAAATGCTTTGAAAGATGATGGCATGCATATGAACTTGGATCTCCAGAAGCATCAAGCGTTGAGTTCACCTCATGTTCCTCATATGAAAAGTAACACCTAAAGTCAAATAACAAATAAGATATGTATGATGCACCATTTCCATATGCACAGCCATAGAACAAACATTGCCAAAGAGGGAGAGAGAAAAAAAAAACCAAGCAGGGGGAGCCATTCTATATAGCAGTGGCCACAAACAATTGCTACATAAGAATTTAGGAATCATTTGCTTAAACTACAAACAAAATCAAAGGTAGTAAAGACTACATGTTTTAGCAGTTGCATAGAGCACAATCACTGCGATTGTGATTACAGTAACCTCTTCTGTTTCATCGAGACATGTGCATGACGAGATGAACGAGGCCGATATATTCATGTATATCAATGAAAATTCCATCCAAGAGGTGAGAGAGGACACAACTATTCATTATTTGAAAACAAATTTTATGTAATCAGCAAAACAGCCAAAATATTGCGCTGCAAATACAACAGCCATGGTTTCTTTCAACAAACATTTACAAAATTTACTAGTGCTCAGTACACACTAACACGCATCATTTTACCCCATAAGTTACAAAAATTTTAAATTGAATAGAGATACAATGCTAACTAAGTACATGCTACATACTTGTTCAAGAGTGTAATGTGGCTTCCTCTTCTTCTTCCTAGCCTCTGCTAGTTCCTGCAATAAATCAAAATGCCAAACACAAAGAAAATTCACATACCATTCATCATTGTCTATCAAAACCACTTCTCAAAGTTAACATAAGCAACCAAATATTGAGAAGATAAATTAACTATATATGTACAGCAAACAATTTAGCAACTACGAAATGTTGGGTCAGAAATAAAGATAAAAGATAAGAGCATCTCCAATCCTTCATCAAATGTTCATCAAATTTGAATTTGATGAAAATTTAAAAAGATGAAGCATTATTGGAGATGACTATTTTTCATCAAATTTGATGAAAATGAAATTTTGGAATAAAAGGGGAATTTTTAAAAACATCTTGATAAAAATTTGATGAAAGGATTGGAGTAGTAGTTCATATCAAATCAAACTTTTACTCAAATTTGGAATCGAATTTGTTGACAAAATTGGTGAAGGGTTGAATCAAATAACCGTACTAAACACTAATCATGAACAAAAATTACACAGCTCTTCCAAATTCACATACAAAAAAGACCCATCTTCACAAATAATCAAAAAAAGAAAAAGATTTAACCTTTGCTTCTAAACGAAGTTCGCGCTTCGTTTTCAAAACATTTTTCTCTCCACCGGCCTCTGATTTCGCGAACTGCGGCTTCAATTTGAAAGGCTGTTGTTTGCATGATTTGAAAGGTTTCTTCGGGTGAGTCGAAGACAATTTCACCTTCTTCGGATTCGATTTCTCTCCCTCATGTTCGGATGATTTGAAAGGTTCCTTCGGACCTTTGTTTGGATGATTCAAGGGTAATTTAGATTTCCCTCCCTCATGTTTGGATGATTTGAAAGGTTTCTTCAGACCTTTGTTTAGATGATTGGAGGAAAATTTCACTCTCTTCGGATTCGATTTCTCACCATCCTCGGGTTCTTTAGCTGAAAACTTCTTTCTCTTCTTCGATTCGGTGCTTCCTTGTCGTTTCGCCGCCATTGATGAGTCTGTGGAGCTCAAACCAAAGCCCCTCTCTCTCCGCTTCTCGACTGTGCGGTGTTGTTCTCTTCTCTTCTTCTCTAGGGGTTTGCGAGGGTTTTGTGTTGTTTGGCCCAATATAGAGGCTGGAAAGTTTGAACGGGCTTGCTACAGGCCCACTGGGCCTTTTTTTTTCTTTTTTTTTTTTTGGACAAATTATCTGGAAGTCATATTTAAAAGAAGAGAAATCTGTGTAGTCCAACAATCTTTTGGATATTCTCAAAAGTTTACTATGTATTTTTCTTATTTATTTTTCTCTGTGCATTTGTTCTTCTCTACTTCTTTCTCTTCCTGATTTTCATCAACCATGCATTGCTTGTTCTTCTTCTTTATCTAATATATAGTCACCGACGACCTAACCACTATTAATTGGAATTCACCGGTAACCACCGGCCACCAACTCCTAACTTCACTCTCACCAACGGTAAATGAGATAAGTTTTCAACAAAAAAAGATGAGTAAAGCTACTCAAATTTGATATAGATCTACTCATATTTACATAAGATCTTAGTAGGATCTGCATAAGATCCGACAAGATCTAAACAAAAACTAGTTATTAGAGTACAATTTTCGATCTCTAAATTTTTTTACATTTTCTCTACTACATACTTTTATTTTCTTATTTTAATGGAGAAAATTTTCAAATTCTGAACAAGTTGTTTTTAAGTTTTAGTTACAGGCGGTGAAAATTGTAAAATTTTATAGTTTTAATTTTTTTGGTGCTGAAATGAATCATGCTTTAAAACTATAAAATTTTACAGTTTCATAACATTCTTTAGAACTGTAAAATTTTACAATTTCATAACATGTTTTTCAATTTGATTAATAAGAATAAATGATTAATAGAATAATATTTTGAAACTATAACATTTTACAATTTCAAAACTTATTTTTCAGTTTGATCAATATTGGAGATTATTTGCTTAGACGTTACAAAAATTGAAAAATAATATATATATTTTCCATTGTTGCTGTTTATTGTTGTTATTTATTTTTTTCTTTCAGTTTATCAAATATTTACCACATTTCGCTACATTTTTCTCTATAATTTCTCCATTTATTCTTTTTTCTTTTGGGCAATATTCTGGACATTCCATTGAGTCTCCAACAATATTCTTAATGTCCAACAAATATTCTGGACATTATGGCTACTTCTAGTGACGTTCGGAACACTTTGGCGATACTCCGGCGACTTCTTGATGATATTGAACATTCCGGCGAGTCTCTCGTAACTGTCTGATAGAAGTCCGATAGTGTTGGGATAATTTATAATAATAAAAAAAAAAGGAGTTTTAGTAACAATTAAAATATGTAAGACTAATTAGTACAAGTATTTTGTTTTGGGATTAGATAGGTTTTAAACTTTGTGTATGAGACTTACTGGTAAGTGCTCATTCTTTTCTTTTCTTTTTTGTTTGAGCAATTTAAATCATAAAAACTATATATATATTTTGGGAAATTAAAAAAAAAAAAAAAAAAAAAACTTAGGGTTTGGGTTTTGTAACAAAGTAAATTTTGATTTTTTAATTTTGTCAATTTATATTCTAATCTTTTATTTGTTTTCAATTTAAATCATTTGTCTATTTTTGTTAAGTGAAACTAACTAAAAAATATATATTTTGGTTATTAAACTCAGTAGAATAGGATATTTTAATTTTTTTTATATACATTTACCTTGAATATAATGACTAAAATACCATTTTTGTAAAAAAAAAATAATTTTACTTAATAAAAATAGTTTCATAAGTGAACATGACTTGAGAATTGATCTCTTGAGAAAGTAGCCCAAGTAGGACTTCAAAATTCTAATTAAACCCTTTTGGCTGTGGAGACTTGAGTGATCTCCAATCCCGATTGGATTTTTTTATCTTGTTTCGTAAAGCTTTTAGCATCTTTACTGTAGAAGCACCTCTTTCCAACGTTAAGCAAATGATTTAAATTGAAAAAACAAATAAAAAAGTTATGGCTTAAATTGATAAAATTAATTTTTTTTTCTGGGTAATTTCTTCTATATTTTTTTAATTACATATCAACATGATGTTTTTATTCACTGAAATTCTCTTTATTTTTATTACAAATCGGCCCTATTATACTAAAATACATATTATCTATATTTTTTATAATTTAATTTTGTATATATATATTTTTTCAAAGTTGTTTTAGGCTGAAAAAATAAAATGAATATGTTAAATCTTGAAGCACTGTAATCAGTGTCAACTCTAAAAAAAATTTGTTCAAAATAATTTAGAAGTTATTTCTCCCCAAGTTGAATTATTTCAATACAATTTCAATTGAATGAAATTATTCATACACATGTTTAATTATAACTCGATTTAATTTCTCTCATTTTCAAATAAAAAATAAAAAAAAATTACTAGATTGACTTCATAATAGTGTTTAAAAAAACTAGGGTGACCTTAAATAATAAACAAAAAGACTAAATTAGTTACTATAAGATTGAAATAACACAGACGAGCTTGTGATTCTACAGCCATTGCTTAAGATTATGTTTGAATCTTAAATTTATGGAAGATTATGGAAAGAATTCATAAATTTAAAATCCAAACAGAAAATTAGGAATTTCAAAAGAAAGCATGTCAATGTCATGTTTCACCCAAAATACTTATACAACATTGGGGAAAATTTTGAATGCTATTCTTGCATGATAAATTTCAATCATGCTTGTTTATTACATTATATATATATATATATATATATTATATTTAATTCCAAAATCAAAGGGAAATTATTCAATAATTTCAAAACACCACATGACCATACTCTAAGTCAATCATCAATTACTAAACCCCATGTTGTTCCCCCATTTCTAACGTAAATTGTAGGCCTCTATCTCTCTCTACTAATCAAAACCTTATGAAGTACTACATGTCCATACTTCGAAAATACTGAATAATCACCCAGAATGAAATTGGTTTAAAAAGCTGTGGAAGTGGAGTCATAGTAAACAAAATCCAATCATACATGTCTTAATTGCGGATTTTTTATTTTTTTTTTTGTTATTTTTATTTTGTGGGACTCCATGTAAGTGATACGGATTTCACTTTTTTTTTTTCTTAAAGGCATTTTTTAATCATGTGTTGGTTGAAAGACCAACATTGGAAGCCAAACACTAGTCCTTCTCATGAATCATGAGTAATGATTTTCCCAGACAATTCTGAATAAAAAGTTCCAAGCATATCTCTCTCGAAGAATGATTCATATGTAATGTCTACTTGTGGGGGAAAAAGATTCATCTTCAACATGATGACAGTTTTCTATATATGTATATATACTGAAGTTGTAAAGGTTGTATATTAGATATTTTATTTTTCTTTCATAAATTCATTATCAAATCTTCAATCTGAGTCATAATTTAATTTTTTTTATAGAAATTGCAATTCAATGGAATTTTTTCTTAAAAAAAAAATTCAAATTAGTGGTGAACTTTATCAATTTTAATAATTAAAATTAAAATTTATTTTATGAATTTGTAAATATTTCGAGAAGGCCTCACTGATTTGCATTTTTTTTTTTTTTTCGTGTTGTGTGAATTTGTTGTCTGGACATGTTAAGAAGATATGATAGTCAGAGCTGATTTTGATCAATCTTAATTGATGGATGAAAGATAAGGTTGATTACATCCATTTCTTTTTGGAGACTTACGAATGAATTCTAATAAATGAATTTATTGTCTAATAAGTTTTATGAGAAAAATTTGTCATAAAAAACGTTACTAATTGTAAATTTTAGTGATAATTTATAAAAATCATGACAAAAAAATCACTAATTGTCAATTTTTAGTAACATATATAAAAAAATTGTCACAAAAAAATTATTTTTAACTACAATTTTATCAAGACTTATTTTCAATAAGACTTGATGGGAATTAAGTCCAGCTATTAAGACTTATTAGTAATTCATCCTTTATTTTTTTATAATTTTATTGACAAAGTATCACCGCACCACGTACACATGTCAATATGCGGTGCTATGAAATAAATTGATTAACGTTTGGTGACAAAGTTGTTTCCATGTTGATATATTTATAGAAGGAAATTTATTCTCTCCCTTTGAGTATCCGACTTGATATGTTATTCGATTCGGTGGGTTCACGTTTAAATCTATATCAATAATTTAAAATGTTTATTTTGTAAAATTTACTGTGCATATCATTTAATAAAAAAATTAAGTTGATCATGCATTGTAACTACATAATTTTAACAATAGATTATTATTTTTTTAAAGACAATATATGAGCTAATAATGCGCCTATTGACATTGTTTATCTTAATTTTTTACATGAATATTTTACTTAACAAATGTTATAAAATAAATAAATATTTTAAATTATTAAAATAGGATCAAAAAATAAATCCACCATGACCGAATAGCACCTCTACCCTTTCAAATTAGATACCCAACTTCTCTGATTATTACATCATTTGATCGGGACTCATCTTTTCAATTTTTTTGTTATATTAAGCTATTAATAATTAGATTTTTCATTTCAAATTCTTTTTTTTTTTATTTTATTTTTTTTTTGTCTTTAGCAAATATCTTTCATATTGTATTTTTTTTTTCTTTTTAGACATTCTTAATCTCTTTTTTTTGTTTTTTTTTTTTTTGGTTATGTAGCGCACCAGACTAAGTCCCTACAGTTCGAACAAACTTTTCGAAAGTCCCAACTGTAACGCCCTCAAAAAAATAACATTAAACCCATCAATATAGATATGCTTTGATATATATAACAGTTCCACATTCTTCTATTCATCAGAGTTTCATTACAAAAAGTATTACATGTTAACAACAAAAGCAAATGCCCTAAGGGCTTACAGCTTTCCAAGTTAACACTTGGTTACAAAAAGAGAGCACAAGCTCAATTACATCTTAAGCCCTTGGCTTAAATTTACATGTAATACATCAAAAGAAAAATAGACACAAAAGTCTGTCAGCCTCAGGCCTCCCAAGCTATGTCCTTGGAGGTGGCATGCTACCTGTACCTGAAAATGATGTTCCCATATAGGGTGAGCCACAGCCCAGTAGAAATACACTAAACCAAATATGA